GAAGAAGTCAAATTGTCACTGTGGATGACATGATTTTCTATATAGAAAATCCTAAAGACTCCACAAGAACACTACTGGAAACAATAAGCAAATACAGTAAAGTTTCTGGATACAAAATCAACGTTCAAAAATCCATAGCGTTCCTATACTCTAATAATGAAGTGTCAGAAAAAGTAGTGGAAAAAAATAATTCCTTTGCAATTGCAGCAAAAAGAATAAAATACCTAGGAATAAATTTAACAAAACATGTGAAGGACCTATACAATGAAAGCTCTGAGACCCTATTAAAAGAAATTGCAGAAGATACAAAGAAATGGAAAGCTATTCTGTGTTCTTGGATTGAAAGAATCAACATAGTTAAAATGACCCTATTACCTAAAGCATTATACAGATTTAAGCAAACGCCATCAAAACCCCAATGGCAATTTTTTAAAAAATTGAACAAAAAATCATCAGATTTGTATGGAAGACCTCAAATTGCCAAAGCTATTCTGAGAAAAGACCCTGAATTGCCAAAGCCATTCTGAGAAAAAGAACGAGGCTGGAGGCATCACTGCCCGACTTCAAATTATACTATAAAGCGACAGTAATCAAAATGGCATATTATTGGCAGAAAAACAGCCACATGGCCAGTGGAACAGAATTGAGAGTCCACAAGTAAATCAGTATTTACATGGGCAAATAATTTCGACAAAAAAGCCAAAAACATACTGTGGAGAAAGGAAAGCCTCTTCAATAAAAAGTGCAGGGAAAACTGGAAAGCCATTTGCAAAAGAATGAAACTAGACTGTTGTCTATCACCACACACCAAAATTAACTCAAAAACTGAATTCAACAATACATTAAAAGGATCATACACCATAATCAAGTATGATTTATTCCAAGGATGCAGGGATGGTTCATCATCCACAAATCAATCAACATGATACACCACATTAACAAAATGGAGAACAAAAAATCACATGACCATCTCAAAAGATGCAGAAAAAGCATCTGACAAAATTTAACATCCATTTATGATAAAAACTCTCAACCAAGCGGATATAGACAGAATGTACCTCAACATAGTAAAGGCCATATATAATAAACCCTCAGCTAACATCATACTCAATGGCAAAAAGCTGAAAGCTTTTCCTTCAAGATGAGAAACAAGACAAGGATGCTCACTTTTGCTACTTTTATTCAACATAGAATTGAAAGTCCTAGCCAGAGGAAATAGACCAAAAAAATTAAAAAAATAATTAAAAAAAAAAGGCATCCAAATTGGAAAGGAAGAAGTAGAACAGTCACTGACATAATTTTATATATATAGAAAATCCTCAAGATTCCACAATCAAAAAAGTTAGAATAAATGAATTCAGCAAAGTTGCAAGGTACAAAATCAATGTAAAAAATTTGTTTTTATATACTAACAATGAACTATCAGAAAGAGAATTGAAGAAAATAATCCCATTCAGAATTGCATCAAAAAGAATAAAATATCTAGAAATAAATTTAACCAAGGAAGTGAAAGACCTGTACACTTAAAACTATGAGACACTGATGAAAGAAAGTGAAGAAGGCATAAACAAGATATTCCATGCTAATGATTTGGCAAGATTAATATTGTTACAATACCCATATTACCCAAAGCAATCTATAGAGTCAATGTAATCTCTATCAAAATTCCAATAAAATTTTCATAGAAATAGTACAAATAATCCTAAAATTTGTATGAAATCACAAAAGATATCAAATAGCCAAAGCAATCTTGAGAAAAAAGAACAAACTGGAGGTATCACACTACCAGATATCAAATTATACTACAAGGCTACAGTAATCAAAGCAGTATGGTAGTGGCATAACAACAAACACATAGATCGATGGAACATAATAGCCCAGGAACAAACCCAAGCATATATGGTCAATGAATTTATGACAAAGGAGGCAAGAATGTACAATGGAGAAAAGGATAATCTCTTCAATAAATGGTGCTGGGAAAACTAAATAGCCATGTGCAAATGGATGAAACTGGACCACTGTCTTACAGTATACAGAAAAATGAACTCAAAATGGATTAAAGACTTGAATGTAAGACCTGAAACCATAAAAGTCCTATTAGAAAACATAGGCATTAAGTTCCTTGACACTGGTCTTAGGGATGTTTTTATGGACCTGACTCCAAAGGCAAGGGTAACGAAAGCAAAAATAAGCAAATGGGACTACATTAAACTAAAAAGCTTTTGTACAGTGAAGGAAACTATCAACAAAGGAAAAGGCAACCTACTGAAAGGGAGAAGGTATTTGCAAATCATATGATAAGGGGTTAATATCTAAAATATATAAAGAACTCAATTCAATGACAAAAAACTCCAAACAATCTGATTAAAAAATGAGCAGAGAATCTTTCCCAAGAAGACATACAGATGGCCAACAGGCACATGAAAAAATGCTCAATATCACTAATCATCAGAGAAATGAACATCAAAACCACAATGAGATATCATCTCACACCTGTTAGGAGGCTATTATCAAAAAGACAAGAAATAATAAGTGTTGGTGAGGATGTGGAGAAAGGGAAACCTTGTACGCTGTTGGTGGGAATGTAAATTGGTGCAGCCACTGTGGAAAATAGTATAGAGGTTCCTCAAAAAATTAAAAATAGAACTACCATATAATCCACTCTGGGTACTAATCTGAAGAAAACAAAAACACTAATTCAAAAAGAATGTTCATTGCAGCTTTCTTTACAATAATCAAGAAATGAAAACAACTACTAATGAATGAATAAAGATGTGGTGCACACACATGCACGCGCATAGACAGAGACATGCACGCACTGGAATACTACATTACCATAAAAAAAGAATGAAATCTTGCCATTCACAACAACATGGATGGCTATTGAGAGTATCATGCTAAGTGAAATAAGTCAGAGAGAGAAAGACAAATATGGTACGATTTTACTTATACGTGGAATCTAAAAAAAAAAAAAAAAAGAACCAAAACAAAGCCAATCACATAGATTCAGAGAACAGATTATTATTGGTGGTGGTTGCCAGAGAGTAGGTGAGTTAGGATGTGGGTGAAATGGATGAAGGGGATCAAAGGTACAAACTTCGGTTTTAGAATAAATAAGTCACGAGGATATAATGTACAGCATTGTGACTACAGTCAATAATATTGTCTTACAAATTTGAAAGCTGCTAAGAAAGTAAATTGTAAAAGTTCGCATCACAAGAAAAAAAATTGTGTAATGGTATGGTGACAGATGGTGATCACTTTACAATGTATACATATGCCAAATCATTATGTTGTATACCTGAAACTAATATAATGTTGCATGTCAATGATACTTCGATAAAAAAGTGAAACTGAGAATATTACAAGCCATAAGTTTCCCAGCAAATCAAATATAAAAAGAAGTACAATACAAAATTAACATATTTACATAATTCTTTTCTGGTCTCAAGCAACAAAATACCTGGGGAACTTGCTCTGAATCAGATTTAAAATTATTTAACAAACTTCTTTTAATAGTAAGCTTGCCCATATCGTTTTAGGACATATGGCTCCTAGGCTTAAAGAGGCTTTGGTGCTGAAGAGCAAGGGCTCCAGAGCCCTGAAGCTCAGCTCTGCCACTTACCAGCGATGTGGCCTGGTATAAATTACTATGTCTCTCAGGGCCTCAGTTTCCTCATCTGGAAAGTGGGGATAATAGTATCTACCTTACTGGGCTGTTATAAGGCTTAAATAAATTAAAACTCATAAAGTATTTGGAAGTATTCCTGGTATAAAGTAAGCTGTTATTAGCTAAATTAATAAACTAAAGTAATGCTGGAACACTTTGATAAAATTGGAGATATGTGCCCACAGGAAAGAAAACATCTATCCTCTGTATGGAATTTTAAAATATCATTTAGGAATATGACATATTTTATAAAAATCATATTAAAAATAATATTCTCATTATAGTATCATATTAGTCAGAATATTAAAATTGAAAAAAAAATATGTATTTCACTGAAATTTAAATGTCAATCAGCATTTATAGATATGCCCTAAAGAAGTGAGAAACGTCTGCCTGGCTCTTCAACTTCAGACCATCATTCTCTTTTTCATTCCATTTCATAACTTTAAATAGGTCAAAACTGTTTTTAAGACGGATTTTTTCTTCAACTGTGTGTGACATATTTTAGACTGTGTCTACACACAAAACAAGAGTTAACTTAGCATGACCTGAATCAATTCAGTTAACAACTGCCTTACTGAGTTTTTCCGACTAAACTGTATAATTATTTAACTGAACTAAAACCTTTCATCAGAAGGAAGCTCAAGTTTCTTCTCAGATAAAACAAATATAATTCTATTGGACTTGAAATATGCTTTACTAGATCAAAATTCACATTAAAGAATTATCTAAAGACATAAAGCAAAATTTAAAAGCCGAAGGGCAAGACAAACAAAAGTTTTTTTAAGGACTTAATGACTGATTACAATATTTGCTGCATTGTTTCTCTATCATTTTTAGAAGCTATTTCTAGGTAAGATGGTGGTGATAGTGATGGGAAAAGACATTCATTTATTCAGCAGACTGGATGGATAAACTATGGGCTGTGGCTAACAAGCAAGGCTCCTTTCTTGTTTGTAGAAAAGAGCACAGTGAAATGGTTCCCAGTCTCGTGGCTACCCATTAGGTCACTCACGTCATTATGACAACCGATGCTTTTTCATACCAGGAAAAGAAGGATGCAGGAAGATTACAAAGAAACCCAAACCAACCCTGCTTATTTTCTTCCTACAGTAACATTTAGAGAAGGTGTAGTGGAGTCTGATTCCCAAAAGGGCATCTCCAAACCAAGTTCTTACTTGGAAACCATTTGCATAAAATTAGCTTAAAAATCTCCTTGCCTTAATCTAACTATTCCTTACTCCAGTCTCCCAAATATGGCTTTAAAACTGTTTATTAAATACTTATAAATTCCTTCAGATCCACTCTGTAGAACTGCGCGGTCATTCTTGGCACAGAAAAAGTGGTAATTCTTGTTACAAGATTTTTCATCGCATCCCACAGTGGCTCCTCCTTTACGACAATATGTGCATTTCTGCAGAAGAACAGATTTTGCTGAGTAAGCACAAGTTTTTCATAATCTTTGTTAAAATTTAAAAGTTAAACATGTTATTAAATATTATTTTTAAGTTGGCAGTCCTAATGTCCTCAGCTACAAACATCAGGTACTTACATTTGGCCTCTCAGCTAACTAGAATGCTTATCATGGATTGTTTTGTAATGATTTGATTAAAAGCAGAAAACTCTTTTAAAAAATTTTTTTAATCTTCTCTCTTTTTAAAAGAGATCTCAAAATTGCCCAGCTCTAGGCATGGGGTTCTGTTAGGGACATCGAGCCTGTGGCAAGGGCAACTCAGCTGTGCCACTAAGAGGTATGTCATCTCTAGTTTACAGATGACAATGCCTTGTGCAAGGGGAGCACAAACTGAATACTATTTTAAGACACTATTCTGGCTGCTGTGTAGAGAATGGGCTGGGGAAGGGATGGGCAGGAGAGAGCAGGACAACTATCAGTGGTGTCCAGCAACTGTCCAGTGAGGGAGACCAGTAACTTCTCTATGATGGATCAGTGATACACAAGAAGTGAAGGACACCCAGTCTGTAGTGTGGCACTGATGGCCTTGATGCTGGGCTGGGAGGTTGGTGAGTAGATGATGATGATAGATGATGTGCTGTTTACTGAGGCAAGGAGTGAATAGGTTTCGAGGGAGTGTATATACATGTTTGTAGGGATTAGAACTGTGTTCCTTTTTGGCCATTTTAACATGAGATCCTATTAGATATCCATGTCGATACGTCAGGTTGGTCGTCGGGGCTGGGGATAAGGTAGGACAGTTAGCCTAGGGAAATTTCCCTTCCCCTCCTGGATGCAGCTCTGGAATTTTTCCTTAGTCCCTTACTCAACACTCTCCTTGTTTGGATTCCAAGTCAGCATGAGACTCCAGCATGAGAAACAAGCCAAGGCCACGAAACATGAGACAGGAGACAGGATAGATGGCCCAAGGCTACACCATCCCCTCCAGGTGGCATGAGAAGCAAGCCAAGAACGGGAGGCAGGATGGATAGATTGGAACACTGCACCCCCACCCCTTTCCCTGATAAGGCTCCAGAGTCTTTCCCTTGTCCTTTGTTCAGCTTTGGCTAATCATAATATCATTGTAATGTCGCCTACATTGCAAGTACCATGTCTCTACCCACCATCCCCAAAAAACAAAGCCTGTGATCCAGACAGTTCAGGGCTACTTGCTCTCAGAGTTGCCTGCACTTTTCTCTTAAGTGTGTACTTTCACTTTAATAAAACTTGTGCTTTCCTGCTTGCTGTTTGTTGTGTCCTTGAATTCTTTCTTGTGGCATAAGACAAGAAGCTCTGGGTGGATTCTCCCCACATCAAGCTTTCCAGCAGGAGAGATATAGAGTCACTGGCATAAATATATTAAAGCCATGAGAACTGGATGGGGTCATGCAGGAAGGCTGTTCAGATTGAGGAAGGAGCCCAGGACAGAACACTGGGCACTCCAAACTTTAGAGGTTGAGCAGAGGGGGAAAAACACCTAAGGCACCTGGGAAGCAGCAGCCAGAAGGTAAGAGATAAGCTAACAGAGTGCGTCCAGGAGGTCAAAGAAGAAAGTGTGCTTCAAGACGCAGGGCACCAACAACGGCGATGAATACTGCTAAAAGGTCAACTACGGACAGAAGAATGACATTGTAATTTACCAGTATTTATGTATATAATGGAGAGATTTTTAAAGATGACATGATCAATTGATCATGTTACATGCTAGAGGGAATAATCTAATAGAAAGGGGGAAACACTGATGTGAAGAGGATGGAGGGAAACGCAGGGACCTAGTCCTTAAGAAGGGGAGGGGGCTGGCTCGAAAGTCCAGGAGGACGGTTAGCTTTGACAGGAGGAAGGCTGGCAGTGGGACAGGGGTGGGTGGGTGGTGGTTTGAATAGTAGGAGCTCCTATCTAATGGCTTCTATTTTCTCAGTAAAAATAAGGCAAAGAAATGTACAGCACTAAGAATCAACTGTAATGTAAACTGTGAGCCTTGGGTGTCTATGTGGGTTCATTACTTTGTACTGAATGTACCCTCTGGTGGGGGATGTTAATGGTGGAGAGACCGTGCGTGTGTGGGGGTGGGGGACATATGGGAGATCTCTGTACCTTCCCCTCCATTTTTCTGTGAACCTAAAACTGCTCTAAAAAATAAAGTCTATTTTAAAAAAATCAGGTGTAGTCATTAATTTGGCGATAGGAAGCTGAAGTGGGGAGAAGTTTTAAAGAGAGATGAGAGCACATGAAACAGTGAATGTGGAGGGTGGAGGGTGAAGTATTGAGGGTCCATCTGAGGTGTGTGGCCATGAATCTAAGGTTAGTCAACACATTTTTGGGGTTTTCTCCAGTCGTTCCCAACTGTTCACATGTGGGTGCTACTCAGCTTATGCAGACAGCACACAGATGTGTTTCATGAGAGCTGGGGCTTTGCTAGGTTGGTAAGGGAGCGGTGGTGTGGGCAGTAGGCAGAGGGAGTCCAGGGCGTTTGGAGGAGAGTGACGCAACGCTAGACCATGGGACCAGGTGGCGCCTCTAACTGTAAAGGGGTCGCTAGAGAACTGCGAGAGCCGGGCGAGCTGGGAGGCTGGGGGAGGCCTGAAGAGAAATAATGTTCAGCCTCTGTAGTGGTCGGCAAGACAAAACCTTCTTTTGACTGGCAAAAATTAATAAGTTTGTGATACTCATTTAAGTCAAGAACTAGGAAAAGTGCTCTTCATCCACCATGTATAGAAGTATAAGGTGGTACAACCTTTCTGGGGGAAGAGTTTGTGGCATGTTTCAAAAATTTTAAAGGGAATTCTCTTTGATTCAGCCATTCCCTTTCTGGAAAATATGCTCTACGGCAACACTCAAACAAGTACACAAGGATTTTGTACAAAGATGTTTACTGCGGCATTAATGGTTAAAGTGAAAAACCGGAATCAACCCATTATCCAGCAACAGGGAATGGTTTCATGCCTTCCGGCACAGCCTATGGAATTCCATGAAGACAATAAAGAGAATGGAGAGCCATAGGCTACAGCTACGAGCCATGTCATTCTTGCCTCCCACACTTTGGCACATCTTGCTCCCTCTCACAGGAATTCCTCCTCCCTCACCTTCACTTTCACCCAACTAGGAAGGATTCCTGAGCCCCAACTGTGATGAGGTGCCTGCTCCCTGAGTGCCCTGTGCGGACCCCTCTCAGAACACATCAGGCTGTGCAGAAACTGCCCACATACATGCTGCCGACTTGTAAGGGCTAAATAAATGTTTGTCTCAGATCATGAACCTTACTGTGGTGCTGGTCCAGGCTCTGGGTACTTGTATTTGCTGTGTCGCTTGTTAAGCCATGAAGGGCCTTTCATAGAGGAAGTCTAGTAATGGACCCACTAGGGTAACAGGTTAGCAATCTCCCTTCCCAGCTGGGGGGTAGGGG